GAGGGAAGGAACCTCTTTATTAGAGCCAAAATATTTAGAAAAATTAAATTTCGAGTTACAAAAGGAATTTTTAGTAAATGGTGGCAAATTACCGTTTACTAAAAATTTAATAAAATAAAGAGGCCAAATAAATGATATACAAATGGTCTGTGTTGAACAGACTTAACAAGACCCGGGTCGGGTCAGCTTGGTTTACAAATTTTTGTCTACTTATCTCTTATAATTTTTATTTTAGTTTGTTCTATGATGCATTAATGTATTAAAAAATTAGTTATACCTATGTTTGATTGTAAATTAAATTTTCTTTTGTTTGAAAGGTATTTGTACTCAGTTGCGTAGTATAATAAACTTTGTTATTTTTTATAAATTTATTTAAACGTGTGCATTTAACATTTTTAAGTTACCAATTTTCTTTTCTAAAGAACAATTAATCAAGGGGATAACAAAAAATTGATAACTCCTGTATAATATAAATTAACTTCATTTTAATCTTAATGGTTCGTGTTATAAAAATTATTTTAAGGATTTAGTTGACACTTTCGTCAATTTAAAGTATAACCAAGTGTTATTATTTTGCGTCAGTAACTAAAAACGTATTGTGTTAAACTTAGGAAGGTCGATGAAAATGGTTCTGCCTTACACTGTTATGACCTGTGCCATTTGTAAATTACTTAATAATGTTAAGTAGTATTTGGTAAATTATTTTACCTCCTCATAATTTTTATGTTAATTTTACAGATGGATTAATTTTTTCAAGCTGAAGGCAATTTTCTAAAAAGGTATTAGTTAAGGTTTTGCAAGATTAAATTGTGGAAAACAGCTACTATAAATTAATTATGTAACAGACCGACCAAAACCCGTATTACGGGTTGCCTTTTGCTAGTTATAATAATTAGTAAACTCATCAGTATCGACATCAGCCTTTTCCTATCCAGTACAACACAAATATATATATATATATATATATATATATATATATATATATATATATATATATATATATATATATATATATATATATATATATATATATATATATATATATATATATATATATATATATATATATATATATATATATATATATATATATATATATATATAGTGAAAACTAAATAATTATAAAGATATATTATTAAGATATATGTATATGTATATGTATATATATATATATATATATATATATATATATATATATATATATATATTATATACATATAGTAAAAACTAAATAATTATTAAGATATATTTAGTTACGCAATTAAAAGTTTCATGCAATAGCGATCATCAGATGTAACAACAACAAAAAAGTAACAACAAAAATTATATATAAAAAATGCTATGGAGTGTCAGCGTTGATGATATTAAAGTTTTTAATTAGAAATTTATTTTTATTCTTTTCTTGATGCAAGTTCAGTTTGTTTATTGATCAAATTTAATGGTGATATAATAATGCGGTATTTTTAATAATGTGGTATTTTCATGTCAAGCATAAATTGCCAAAAGATCTCGGTGTAACTCTGGATTCTCACCTTAACTATAAAAAACATATTTCAAATGTTATAGGGATAACAGATGCCGCTTTCAAATAAGCTGGAAAACAACACTTTGATAAGACAACTCCAGAGAACACTTCTGCAAGACTCTAACATGTATGTTGTCTGGACTACAAGCTGTAGAAGAGTCTGAGAAAGAAATCACCTTAGATACAGAAGCTGGAGTGATATGAATGTCAAGCAATAGATCAACCTGCTTATCGGCTTTATCAAGTAGGATTTGATTAACGGAATCAAAAGATGAAGATTGATGAAAAGTTTTTAGCAAACAAATCAGCTTTGATTTAGGTGAGGTCACAAAATCTCAACCATGCAAGAAAGGAGAAATAACAGATTTGCAATTATTATAGATACTGTTAAAGATTCTCCTTAAGTCTCTTGAGTCTAATTGTTGAGATGAAATACAAGATTTTGCAACCTGGGAATAGCAGGCTTTGGCATTACACAAAACCTTTTAACAATGGTTTCTAGCAATAGTAAACAGACTTTTGTTTTCTAGAGAATTATTTTAGCAATAGATATGGAAGTAAAGGTTACAATTGGAAATTACAGCAGCACAATGAGAGAAAAACCATAGAGAAGAGTGAGGCTTGAATTATTGATAGGGAATAATAGATTCCATGCCAGCATAAACCCAAGAAGTTACATGAGAAGCACATTTTTCAGCAGGATGACAAAAGATTTCTACCGCAGAGCCATTACAAAGAAAATCACGGAAAGAGTCAGCTATAAGGTAATTGTAAGATGTACAATTTAAGGGGATTTTAATGATGAAGAAAAATAAGATAATAGTTTTAGAGAAATTAAACTGTAAACACTTATAGTTCAATGTTGTGAAACTGAGCACTGACTAAGATCAGAAACAAGACATAAGTCAAGTAGAGGAAGAAAATGTTTTGGATTATCTAGAAACCAAAAGAAAGTTGGATAGTTGACTATTTTATATATATAAATTATTTTGATAATATGCTTTTACTTAGATTTCAGAAACTTTCCAATTGGAATACCTTTAGCCAAAGGTGGTTGGGAAACTAGAAAAAGACCTGTTGCTGTATGATTTTTGAAGTTTGTGTGCAGTCTTGAGATGAAGAAGAGGGATGTAGAACAATGAGAAAGGTGGTTTCAACTTATTCAAATAATTGTTACTGTTGTTCTAATTATACATTTTTTTTTTAACGTTTCATTTATTATGATGGACTTATTTATAATGAGTGAAGTTGTGCAAAATGAAAGCACATAAAAGACATGTACATATGCCAGTTTGCACTTAAGCAGCTTGGCAGTTATAAAGTTTAGACTTATTCAATTGCTCAAACAATACAGTATTTACAGTAAAAACAAAGGGTGGGATATTGGCTACACCAATATGCAAAAATGCTAGATTATTGTAAAAGCAAAACTAATCAAATAAAAAAAAAATTGGAATTCCAAAGTACTTAAAATTAGTATTAAAAAAAACATGATGCAAAGATTGATGACATTGCTGCAATATATGTGATATATTTATATATATATATATATATATATATATATATCTTTATATATATATATTATATATATATCTTTATATATATATCTTTATATATTTCGATTCAAATGAAATTTTTATTAGAAACTACTTAAGTATTCAAAACAAAACAAAACAAAAAAAAAAAAAAGAGTTTAAATACTTCATATTAGTTGAGTTAATGAAGTTTTAGCAAATAACTGAAGTAGAAACAATTAAACAATTGATTTTTAATTTAAATATATATTTATGGACAGTAGTGTATATATATATATATATATATATATATATATATATATATATATATATATATATATATATATATATATATATATATATATATATATATATATATATATATATACACACACTGTCCATAATTATTCGAATAGTCATACTTTTGGATTTATGAGATTTCAAAGTTTTACTATTTAGAAAAGAATTAAAAACAAAGTCTGCCTGAATTATATATTAACTTCCTATTTATTAGGTTTAAAAAAAATTAATATAAAATCCCATTAGATTAGTTTATAGTTTAGTGATGTTAGCCTTTTAATCATCTTTAGCGACAATAACCACCATCTTGGCACTTAATAAATTATCTAATTTGTCAAAATCAATTTTATGTCACCAAGTTTTTTCTAGATCTCATGCATCATTAGGCATTAGTTTTTGACATAACTTCCCAAAAAAAATTCGATAGAAGAGAGATCTTGTGATTGGGGAGGCTAAAGCATTCTATTCAATATTTTATTGTTCTCGAACTCAGTCAATTAACTTTGACTGGATAAAAGCTTTAAGTCATCTTTTTCTGAAAAATTAAATGGTTTCCCATTAAACCATCTTTTCGAAGGTGTGGCACGATTTTTAAGTGTACAAATAAACTACTTTTGTTATTACTCCCTCTATTTTTATAAAGTCACAAGTGGCATTCCAACCAAAACAGCCCCACATCTTAACACTGTATCCACCATGTTTTACAGTCAATAATACACACTATTTTGTCATACATTCAACAATTTTTTTTTCTAGACAAACAATCTTATCTTGAAACCAAAGATTTAAAACTTCAACATGTTGGTCAACGTTTACAATCATTGATGGTCCATTTTTATGTAGTTTTGCTCACTTTAGCATTTTTATTATTGTCAAGATTTTTGTCAAAGCTATTTAATCAAAATACTTTTTAATTATCTAATAGTGTAAAAATAAACATAAAAAAAATAGTTAATTTAAAGTCATCCAAATAATTATGAACTGTAGTGTATATATCATATATCATATATATAATATATATTATATATATATTATATATAATATATTATATATATTATATTATAAATTATATATATATTATATTATAAATTATATATATATATATACATATATATATATATATATATATATTTATATCCATATATATACATATATCAAGCCATATCAGGAAAGGCGTGGGATTGCATGCTCAATATGACACACACACAGTATTATGTTTGACAACTTGGCCACATCAGCATGTTTTGATAATTTGCGTGTGTTTTAAAAATGCGCTGAAAAAACCAAGCTGAAGAGAAAATAACAAACAAATCATAAATGAAAAAGACAAATAAAATCTTTACAAATTGTTAATCAGTAATATAAAAACGTAAAATGAATATATTTTCTTAATTTTGAAGCATCTAAATTAATAGCTCAAACTTACTGACTGATTTAAGAAGCGTCTTAATAGTTCTAAGTTAATAATTTTTTTGATAAGGATTATTTATTATACGAACACAACCAGTCACTTGATTACATTGTTGATTACAAACTTCTTTTTTAAGAATTATTATGGACTGCACACCTTTCCTGAGTAAGATTGTTTATATATATGCACAATTTAAAGATAATCACATAAAATATACAAAATACATATGCTTTACTAAAAAAATCATTACTTTAGAAGCAACAATAAACATTGTTGTGGCTGGATTTAGATTTTTTAATGTCTCAGCCATATGAGTACCATCGATGTTTGATACAAAATGAGCTTTTGGCCCATCACAAAATGACTTCAATGCTTCAGTAACCATCAAAGGACCCTAGTAAAATGTATTGCACATAAACAACTTTTATGTATAAATTTAAACCATAATATAAAATCCATTTAATAAAATTAATAATTATTTAAAATAGTTAAATATTATATATAAATATATATACAAACATAAAAACCAAAGTGTGCGAAATGTATAAATACAAATGTATTAGTCAACCTAAGTGCAGTAGTAGTAGTAGCAGCAGCAGTAGTAGTTGTAGTAGTAGTAGTAGTAGTAGTAGTAGTAGTAGTAGTAGTAGTAGTAGTAGTAGTAGTAGTAGTATATATTACATACACATTTTTTTTATAAAATTCATCTCCCTAATGGCTTTAGAGCGAGCCACTAATATTAAGGAAGCTATTGAATTTTTTTTTGGCTTTTTATTTGCAGCTCTAACTTAACCAGAGATGTGGGGTGGAGTGTTTGCCTACTACCACATAAAGTAACATATTGGCAACATATTGCTAGATACTACTATACTATCTTTTGATAAATATTTTTTATTTTAACTTTTAATTTATTTTTTGAGTTTGATTAAACCATTATTTCTTGTTTTGATGTTCTTTAAACCTTAAATTTGAAAAAAATTGATCATTATTAACATTAACATTATTACGCTTTATTAACTTTAACATTATTAACTTTAACATTATTACGCTTGTTAATTTCAACAGATTTAATTTTTTAAGGAAGACAGCAGAGCGTGTTATTGTTATTCTATCTGAAATTTAAAAATCTGAAGCCGCTAGCAATGTAAAACTACGTTGTTTAGCATTTTATACAAAATTGCTTTTTATATTTTTAATGAAGTTGAATTTTGTTTGAAACACTTTTGTACTTTTTTTATCTCTTTTTTCGTCATTAAAAAAGTAAAAGAAGTTTTTAATTATTAAACCAAAAAAAAATGTTTCTGTTTTTTATATTGCAGACGTTTTAACCAACAGAAGCATTTTAATTTAATATAAGAGAAAGAAATAATTATCAACCTCTACTTTTTAATAGAAATACGTTTGAAAAATTTTGATATATACATTTTTAATAGCAATGCATTTGAAGAACTTTGATATATATATTTAGTTTTTTACTTTTTTTGCTTGTATTTCTCTACTTGAATGAATGAAACAATTGAAACAATGAAAACAATAAAAAAAAGAATTAAAAAAAACAAACAATTGAAACAATGAATTAGAAAAATTATTAATTTAATTACAAACAATGTGCAGAAATTAAAAAAAGTACAATAAAAATAAAAAAGATCTTGTTAAACTTTTGTTTAAATGTGAAAATAATAAAATTAAAAAAATTCTTTAATTTTGCAAAATAACTTTAAAACTATAAAACTTAAGCTAATATCAATTTGACAAAAACATTTTATCAATCAGTTACATACTTTGATAGGTTCATACTTTTGATAGGTTACATACTTTGATAGGTTCATACTTTTGATAGGTTACATACTTTGATAGGTTCATACTTTTGATAGGTTCATACTTTTGATAGGTTACATACTTTGATAGGTTACATACTTTGATAGGTTCATACTTTTGATAGGTTCAGGATTAAGCTTTATATTCTTATGATTATACTTTTATATTTTATGATTATTTTATGATTATACTTTATATTCTTATGATCTATACTTTTTAAAACATGTAACTTGATATCACAAAAAGAAGACTTTGAACAACAAAAAAATTATAAATGTTAGATATACGCATACTATATTTTTTATTTATTAACAGATTTAATATACTACAAACATATTGAATTAAATTATTTTTGTTTTTAAAAATTCTTTTTTTAATTGTGCAACTATAAATACTTTTTCCCATTTTCCTACTTGAATTTTTCTTAATTTTTACCTTTTGCCAATAATAATTACAGATTATAGTCAATCCATTTATTAACTTTGAGCTTAATTTTAACTTGAACAATTTACTTATACATGCATATATAAACTTACGACAATTTATATACAAGTATTACCAATTAAGATTCACAACTATAAAATAAAAACTTAAAATGTCCAGACGTTTAAAACTTACTAAATCAGATCCACCTATCCCAATGTTAACAACATCAGTAATTGATTCTCCAGTATAACCTTTCCATGAACCACTGCGTACTTTCTAAAATAAAAAAAAATAACTATATACCTAGTATATATATACAGGGTGTTAACCAGGAATAAATTTGATACAGCGTTTTAACGAAATTGGGAATTTGTCGAAGTATTTCTCAATCACATCCTCCTCCCTTAAGATTAAAATATGTTCTGGGAAAGCATGGGGTCCTTTTTTGGTGTTCTTTTTTTTTTCTACTCTACTTCAGTGCCGCATACATTGATTGATCAGTGCCAAAAATATAATAAAATAGGATCTGTATCATTAAAGATGAATATGAAATCAACTCAAAATTAGCTGTTGTTTCACGACACGGCAAACTAAGAACCAATTTCCGAACATATATTAGGAAAAATATCTTTTTTTCATTATAAACTAATCAGTGTATATTAACTATTATTGAGAATAATTATTTTGATTTATTTTTAATCTTTATATATTGTTGCTGCTTTCATTTCAAGAGTATTACTTTAAATATATATTTCTTTTCAATGTAATATAGTAAAATAGCGATCTCTATTTATTATTTAAATTCTGCTCAATGTACCTTACGAACAAACCCTTACATCATTATGTAATAAATTGTGTCATCAAAAGAAATTTTTGAAAATAGATAAGGTTTTAAAAATAGTAAACACGAGCTCATAAATTTCATATTTCACATTTTTTTAATTCATAAATCACATAGCAAAATAAAGTTATAGTCACTAAGTCTCAGCAAATACAACAACAAATGTCATTTAATTATAGAGTAATATTATTAGCAAGCGATTGCACACGTGGCATCGAAGAATACAGTAAAAAAGTAAAAAACTTTAGCAAATTCAGTTGATATAAAATACAAAACAAAAAAAAAGAAAAACAATAACTAAAAGATTTTCCGTAATACCCGTAATTGATCAAAAGGTATCTGACATAACCTTCTCGATGTTTTTGTTGACGAATTACATGTACTATTTAAAGTTAAGTTTACGGTAAGACTTAATAAGTTATTAAACTTTCTAGCCAAAAAGGGTGAAACTTTTAAAGAAATAGGATTTGTGGGTGTTAAACCAAACAAGTTTTTTATTATTTTGGATCTTTTAGATTAGTACTTTATTTCTTGCTAACTTTTTTATATAATATTTGCTGTTGTTGGAATGCATTGCAAAAAACTATTTTCAAATTTTATTGCAAGTTGCCACAAAAATCGCTCCAAAAATTCCAATTCTCATGATGTTTTTTACAAGAAACCAATTTTCGCAGTTATGCAATTGCGTTTTTATATCAATAATGGCGATTTGATTTCATGTTTTACCCAATTAATGAATTAGAATTTTTTTATGTTATTTTTCTATTAGTTTTGAATAATAAATAATTTTAAATTATTTTTAGAATTAATATTAAACTTTAATTTTGAAATTTTTTTTTGTAGAATGGGATTTTTTCATCTTTAAGTTAGGAATTTTAATTTTATGAGCATTTGGGAAAACCGCATTTGACGGGGCGCCACAGGGCTAGTTTACACCCTGATATACTACTATATATACCTATCTATATACCTAATAATATGATCACTATTGGTGTAAAAACCCAGGAAATCAGGAAATAGGATTCCGAGAGTTTTTTAAACTAAAGATGAACAATGAAAATGAATCATCACAGGGAGTCATGTGGTTAATACTTCCATAATTTCCTCCATTGGAGGTTTGTTAACCAGCTGTATCTAATTGAACTTCAAGGCTCCAGCAAACTGTAAGTCCATACCACCCATTGAGTAGTCATAAAACTTTGTAGTTGCAGATCATAAAGTACATTTACATGCTAACACAAAATCCTATTTAAATTGATTGAGAAGGGAACCATTGTTTATTGCATGCATAATATTATGCATGCAACCAATAACATGATTTAATATTCTTTTAATTGGAATGGGCAGGAGAAATGGATAAATTTTACAATTGTACAATTGTCAAAAAGTAGGTTTATTTTTTTTTATTTTCTAACTTCTTTTGAAAATATTTTTATTGACACATATCGTCTGACAATTACTTTTCGTAAAAGGTCATAACTTTACTCATAATTACTGATGTTTGTAAATGGTATATTCATTGATGTTTGTCAATGGTATACAAAATAAGCTTCAACTATATATTATAAAAAATTCTTAGTTAATAAAATAAATCATGGCAAATAACTTTTTTTACAAACAATACCATAATAAATAACTATTATTTAGCAAATATTTTTGTATTTTGTGTTAGCAATAATGAAACTATATACTTTGAAAAAAAGTATATACTATGAAAACTTTTAACTTGTTTTCTTAAAACTTTACCCTTTAAAAAAAGCCAAAAATAAAAGAAAATAATATTTTCAAACCAACATTTAAACTTTTAATAATAAAACCAACATTTAAAATTTTAGTGTTGCAAAACATTTTTAAAAAATGCAAATAAAACTTTTTAAACAATAATACCAGTGAAAAAACTTATCTAATAGTTTAAAAGTATAATAACAAATTTTAGACAAAAAATGGTTGTCTAGTTGCACATTTTTGATATAAGGGTGTCAAAATCATTCTTTAGATTTTTAGAATTTATGTTTTTATGTTTTGTCTCTGTTGATATTAAGCCATTTCTGGTTAAACCCACAGTGAAAGTGCTTCGTTTTTGATTTTTGTTTATTGTAGATATAATGCTAATTTTATGTCTGTACTCACCTACAGTATTTGCTTAAGTACCATGGTTTTTACATTTTGTTTTTTAGCATAATATTACATTGGTGATTTGGTCTTAGGTTTTGCATTTTATTATCTTGTCTAGTCTTTGTTAGGGTCTTTAGTATAACTATATATTATATATATTATATATATATATATATATATATATATATATATATATATATATATATATATATATATATATATATATATATATATATATATATATATATATATATATATTGTTAGGGTGTTTAGTATAACTATATATATATATTAGGATGTTTAGTATAATATACATTTAAAGACCATCATAATATGTTTAACATATCTTTATTTTGTAATCTATCTATTTATTTTTTATACTTTTATCCCTTTCTCTTTAAGCGTATGTTTACATAATTTATAATTCCATATATTGGTAGGTAAACTTGAAAAACAACAATAAAATTTGGTATCATATAAATGAAAATCTAGAACTTCTGAAACATTTAAAATTTTTATACTTAAACTCAAATTATTTTTGTCTTTTCTGACATTATTTTTTTTATCTATGGTTTTTAGTTAAAATTTTGAAAAAACTTACAAAAAAAAAACTAAAGCAATTTATAAATCTTTTGATTTTTTTTTTATCTTTTTGTACCTTAATTGCTGATCGACTCCTTAAAACAATAAATAAATTCATTTGATATTAATGTTTTTTTTTAATCAGTCTTTAAACTCACGCCATTAATTAAACACTCATAAGATTTTGTTTAATACATCTTAACTTGTTTATCTTATTTATGTTTTTTTTTTGTATCGTTTGTTTAAAATCTTGTTCCTCTCTATGAAAATGAAATAATTATAAAAAATTTAATTGGAGCATTTAGAAAATTGGAGAAAATTTATAGTTTTTTTTGTTGCAGCATTAGAGTGATAACTTTATTTTATATTTCTTTAATAATATAACTTTTGAAATGAGATGTTTTATCTCCACAAAAATATAAAATGGTAACTAAAAATACTTTTTATTAAAATTTCAGATTAATTTACAAAAAAATTTTCGTTCAGGCTATTTTTATAGTTACATTGCACTGAGGATACTGGGACTAGTTGGACATTGATTTAAATGGAATCCTTGTGTTTCTCTATAGTCCCTTACCAAGAAATGACTGAAAAAAAACTTATTAAGTTTTCAGACAATGTGATAATAAAAACATTTTCAAAAAATCAGATAATAGTGGTAAAGATAAAAGCAGATAATAGTAGTGGAGATATCTTAAATTTTTGAATCTTTATTGCTGAAAAAATGAAAGCAATTAAGCATAAAATTTTATTTATTATTTATTTTTGTATTTATTATTTTTACTTCTTTCTATTAAAAACACAAATTTAAATTAAATAAGTGAATCAGTAAATAAAGTAAAAAAAAGATAAGAAATCAAAATATTCATAAATTACTTTAGTAATAATGATGTCTTTTTTATTAATTTAATGAAATTATTTTTAATTAACGTGATCATTAATGTTAATAGCTGTAGGCTGCATTATACTAGCATAAACATTTTTTAATTATCTTTCAAACTCATTGAAGAAGAACCATATAAATTTGACATTTTCACAAACTGGTTTGTTTTCAAACCTCCTTGTTTTGCAGGTGATGTTTATGTATGTGTATGTAGTTGGTGTATAAGTATGTGTATGTATGTATAGATGGTGTTAGGTATAAGCTTAATCATATTTGATATTATTATATAATAATCATTCAACATTTTGACTATTTTTTAGAAAAATATTGTATTTAAAATGTTAGGCTCATCATTATTATTGCTATTGTTATTACTATTATTATTATATGTAATGTTAATATTATTTACATTTCATTTACATTTTTATTACCACCATTATTACTAATTAATTTTGTTTAATATTTATCAATATTATTATTACTATTATTATTATTAATGTTATTATAATTACTAATCTAATAGTATTATTGTCATTAGTATATCTAATAGTATTATTGTTATTACTATATCTAATAGTATTATTGTTATTACTATATCTACTAGTATTATTGTTTTTATTTATTATTAGTATTATTTATTATTTACCTCTTTAAATTTGCTTTAATATAATTATATGATTTTTATTATTAATTTTTATATGATTGCCTTTTTTATTTAATTAGCGTTTACCTTAGATAAGTACTTGCACTATTAGTAAACAAAAATGTAAAAACAAGAAATGCAAAACTTTCATTTTAGAATACATATTGTTAATATTGCAAAAATATTTTTCTTAACCTTATATTTAAACTGGTAATTACCCATGTCAAAAAATGTAATTTTTGAATTACGACTTTAGTTTTTTTAACTTTTGATTGTTTATATGATGTTTTTGTGTTATTTTGTGTCATTGATATTTTTTGTCATATAAACAATCAAAAGATGAAATCAAAAGATGAAAACAAAAGATGAAAACAAAAGATGAAAACAAAAGATGAAAACAAAAGATGAAAATAACAATAACTTGTATTTTTATGAAGAAAGTATGAAGTAGAAAAACAAAAATATATATACTTTAGGCTCAGTTAAGTTTAGAACATCAATTGTGATAATTAAAACTTTATTAACTTAAGATAATTATGACTTGAGATTATGTTTTTGATATTTTTATAACATTATTTAACAATATTTTTAATATCCAAACTTTTTCTAAAAATATCAGTTTCGCACAAATTTGGGTGAGTTTTAGATGTTGGCCTTTTCTGTAGTAAAGTTCATCTTATAGCAATGATTATTGTGATAAACGCTACATTATAGTTGTTAAAAAAAGTAGCAAGAAATAGGTAGGGTACAATATATAAAATATATAGTTTTAATAAAAAACATAATATAAAATCTAAAATAATATAATATATGGTATAACACTGATGATTCATTGTTAAATAAAATATTAAATTCAAAATTCCTAACATTAAATAAAAATTCCAAATTGCTTTTGCAACTCACTAAATTTACAAAAATAAGTTTCTAAACCTCTGAGAACTTCTTCATCTTTTTTAATACTTTGTTAACATCAGTCATTACCTAACAGAAATATAAATACTTTGTTAACATCAATCATTACCTAACAGAAATATAAATAAGAAATAAGTTAACTCATTAGAATTACCTCACAGAAATTTAACTAAGAAATAAATAAAACAAAACAAAAACAAATTTAAAAAATTTACATCTTTTCCATCAACAATTATTGGTGTGTTACTTCGATTTCGCAAAGCAATATGGAGAACAGCTCTATTCTAAAATATTTACATATGGTGTAGAAATAACTTGCAATTGAAAATAATCACTATATTCTCTAATTTTATTTTTAATATATTCATTATTACTTTATCTCATATTACATTACTATTTTCAATTGATAAAAAAAAGGAAAATTAAAAAAAAAGAAAAATGTTAAGCATTAATTAAAAATTTGTTAAAAACTTTACATAAGAATTTGTAAAAAACATTTTTTAAAATACATGAGAATAGGTTTACTTTATACTTGACTATGCTTGGTGTAGAGGGAAATTAGATAATTTTCCTCTAGATAATACATAGAAGGAAAATATAATAAAATATTGCATAAAGAGAAAATATAAGATATTATTTCCTTTAATTTGCTCAAACAATTGCAGAGATTTATATCTATATCTTATATTTATATCTTATACCATTAAAACAATCATCTAATACCTGATTTAAAGTATTTAAAAACATCTGACAACAACAAATCATAAAAACAATGTATTTAAAAATACATTGTTTTTATGGTTATATGGTTTGGAAAAAGATATAATATATTAAAATAATATAAAAGTGTGTTTGGTAATAAAACAAGACAAACTAAGAACTGTTTAAAGTAAATAATTAACAATCGAGTTCAACTAAAAAAAAAAAACTTACTCATTTAAACATAAAGGAGTATTAGTAGTACTCAGTAGACAAAAAAATGTTATACAAATTATTTCAAACATAAATAATTTAATAGCCTCAAAGGATCTATTTAGTAAACTAAATATATTCAATGTTTATCAACTAAATATTTATCAGATACTCACTTTATATAAATATATATATATTTATATATATATATATATATATATATATATATATATATATATATATATATATATATATATATATATATATATATATATATGTATATATATATATATGTATATATATATATATATATATGTGTATATATATATATATATATATATATATATATATATATATATATATATATATATATATATATATATATATATATAAATATAAATATATATATATATATATATATAATTTTCATAATAAATATATATAACTAGTAAAATCTGATTTAAATAAATAAAGTTTCTAGTATGTACGGGTAGTGTACTAAATTTACATACTTCAAGTATGTAAATTTAGATAACAAATCCAATTCTTAATATTTTTTTCCAACTTTCAAAATGTATTGGCTTTAAATATTTTTATTACTTTGTTAAAAGATAAAGAATAGTAGAATCCTGTTAACTCAGACTCTGAACGGGTATATATATTTTGTCCGACTTAGCGAATGTCTGAGTTAAGTGAAGCTTTCGGTATTTATAGAGAATTCAAGGTGAATTGAAAATTTGTCAGGCTTATCCAGGGTCCGAGTTAATGAGATTCTACTATGCAGTTTAAAATATCTAAGAATATTACCTTTTGTTACATTCAATTTTTACAAGTAATGTGTAAATATTACTATATTATTGTAATTATTATTGACAGTGTAAAAATAAATTTTAATCATAGACCATCTAGGTCATAATATAAAATCCGGAAAATTGTTTGAGTAAAAAATACAGAATATATTTTCCCTTATTTTCCTCATAGTTTTGCTTTTAGCTGATTTTTTATCTAATATTTTTTCAAACCTTTCTTTATTTTTCTATGAGTAATGAGTGAAAAAACTTAAAAAACAAATATATTACATTATATATAACAAATATATTGCTATTAATCAAGTATTTTCATATTTTTATTTCAATTTTATTTTTTAAAAATATGAACTTGTATGTTTGCAATTTTAGCTTTATACACTTAGTTCTTTATATAGGTGTTGTAAGTTAAGAGTTATTACTTTTTATAATCAGTTTACTATATCAAAACACTTCTTTTGGAGATCAGGATATATAAGTTTTTTTTCATTATAGCTTATTATGCTACAATGCTTTGTAATCTTTGTAATCTACATTACCAACTCTTGCAAACTCTTTTTGTCTTAATTTCTATTTTATCAAACGTTGTGTTATCCATTTCTCATGCTGCTTTTTCTTTCTTTTGTTATTAGTCTTGTTTATTCTGCTTTTTTTATTAAGTTTGCTTTTTTAAAAATTGTTCCTTTTTTCATTGATTTTTTTTAGTTTATTAGTTTTTGTTGACTTTTTATTTTTTGTTTTATTTTTTGTTTAACATTTGTGTTACTTTAACTTTTGTTTTACTTTACTTTTGTTTAACTCCGATGTTTTCAAAAATTCAATTTTTATTGCAAGATATGTTAAGACAAATATTATATTCAACAAACCTAAAAATATGGTTTAACACGAGTCTGCTGATTTAACATAAAATGATCCTAGGACACTTTTAAAAATACAATTTAGTTTTTTTGCAAGAAACATTAGGACATTTAAAAAAAATATTTTTAAAGTGAAACATAATAAAAAATATTATTTCTAGATTGGTTGACAAAAATACTCACAAGCCTAAAAAACAAAACAAAACAAAAAACAATAACAAACAATTAAAAACCTCAGTCACATTGATATTTTCACCAGAAAACATCTGATTGCGCATGTTTTCTACTTGGCATTCTTCAACCTAGATAAAGATATTTAATTAAATGAAAAAATACAATATAGAGTACTAGATATTTTAGACCAATAATCTAGAGTACTAAATATTGATACTAATACAAACTGCAACAATAAACTTTTATGCAAAACCATATTCTTATCAATAGTTGATAATGTAATAATACTTACACACATGTTAGTTTACACACATGTTAGTTTACTTACACACATGTTAGATTACTTACACACATGTTAGTTTACATACACACATGTTAGTTAACACTGTTTTTTAGGCTTCAATTATGACTTAACCCTGCTCAAACCAAAACCCTCAATCAAAATCTACCTATTTATTTCGATCATTTATGCTTATTATTATACAAACTATTAATATGTAAATTTATTTATATACAAATAACAAAATATTTATGGTCCTTAAAATATAAACTTTCAGTTTGCAAAAAAGAGTTGCATTTTACAGACAGCCAGACAAGCCTGGTAATAGTATTGGTAGCTATAAAAATTTAGTTTACAAATACTTCCCATTAGGTTTGCCAATTTTCAATCTGAAGAGATCCAAACACCAATGATAAATATTTCATGCTTAAGGGCAAAACCTTTTAACTTTTTTAAGGCCAAGGAAAGTTCTTTATTAAAATTTGAAAAAAAAAAAAAAAAAATATTGACAATTTTTACAGTAATATGTAACAGGTTTTATTCAATTAACTAAATTTACTTAGTTCACTACCCAATAAATGAAGCCTACAAACTGTCTGAAGAGTGTAAGATACCTACAAATAATATCAAGCCATTATTATTTAATAATAACAATATTACATATGACTCAATCGTGAAATGCACATTAACAATAAACATTCACAGAATGGTCTGACATTTACACACATTTTTAAACCTAACTCAACAAGCAAGTAAACGCAAATGAGATGCTTGCACAACAACCAAAAAAATAAAAAAATATTCTGGCAGTATAATCTAAACAAAAGTTTAGATAATTTTTCTTATTTACTTTAAAGGTTATATTTTCTGATACAGAGCCGTGGTTAGACTCCCCTCCCCTTCTCATTGGGGATAGGGGGAGGCCCAGCAAGCAAATTTAGGCCCCTTTAAAAATGAAAAAGAACTTCTTATTTTTAAAAGTAATATGTAGTGGAAAATTTCTTATGATTTTGAGGCACTAATAATAGGGTTTTTTACTTGTTGAGGGGAAGGTAGGGGATAGGGGTCTATTTTGCAAGATTGTTCTATTTATGTTCTCGTAATTTGTTCCAGTGTTTTGTTGTTTTTCCTGTAATATCTTCTGTTTGTTGTAGTGGTTACTTTGAATATAGTTATATATTACAGTAAAAACAGATCAGGTCAATAATAGGACCATGACATAATATATCAGGGTGGTCATAATATGACCACCCTGCTACTGGTAACATGTAATCCAGTAAATCCTGCCTTATGTCCCCAGCCTTAATAGGACTTACTTCTCTAGCCTAAAACTAGGAGAAGATTTAGTTAAATTACCCCTATCTTTGGGCATTAATATTAAAAAAAAATCTTTATGCTTGTGGTTAAGTACCAGAAATAATTCGCAATAAAAACATTTTGGATAATAACTGCTGACTTGTAGTAGGCCTCTTAGGCAATAAATTTAGGGGTATACAGAAAATTTCTGTTAACCAACCTCACGTCCCTTCAATGTTACTGACAATGCAGCTAATAAATCAAAATTGAGGCATAATATTAAATCTCGATCAGATGTTGATGTAGTTACATATAGTTGCTCTGTACATTTTATGAATTATCTTATAAATACCTGTGTGATTGCCAACTCTGTTCAAAATATGTAAATCTAATTAGGTCATAACTGATACTGAACTAAAGCGATCCATCAGAATTAAAACACAAAGCAATCCAATTGTTTTAAAACATATTATACCAATAGAGCTTACACTGATAGCAGTAAAGAATATCAAAAATTAAAAAAAAAAAAAAAAAGGACAGAACACTAAAGTAAAAAAACTTCATACCAAATATATTACAGTCTTCAGAGTTAAAAAAAATAAGGTTGGTACAAAATTGCTGACTAAACTATTTTTGATTGGCAAAAAATTTTAAACACAAAGGTTTCACCATAACAACATTGTAGACGTAGAGAAGGGCTGTGAAGACAGAGTTGCGGAGTTGCAACATTTTTAGCGAAGTTGGAATCGCTAAACAAAATCGCGACTCCAACTGCAATAGTAAAACTTCTCGGTATTACACGTGCATGTGCAAAATATTCAAATAACCATATATTCATACTAAATGTGGGTAGTGGTGTAGTGGTAGAGCGCCCGCTCGCTCATGCGGTAGTGGTGTAGTGGTAGAGCGCTCGCTTCATAAACAAGTGGTTCCGAGTTCGATCCCCACCACGTCCCTGGTAGTACCGCGCTCAACTCGTTTCTCCGCGCAGCGGCCTTGTTTGTCAGGGTTCGTGTTTCGGAGTTAAAGAGTTGAGAGAGGGTTATAGCCACAAATAAGTAGCCTCCTCGTCTGTAGTGGCCTTCTCGGCCTTGAGGAGGTGAATTAAAATAAAAAAAAAAAAAAAAAAAAAATCTCAAAGAACTTTTCATAAATTTTGCAAAAAAAAATTTTAATTTATCGCATAATATTTTTCAAAGAATTCAAAGAAATTTTCAAAAATTTTGCTTTGGATTTGGAGTTGGAGTCAGAGACGTACTCTGAGAATTTTAATGACTGGAGTCGGAGCCTGTACTTTTTTTTTACAACTCCACACCTCTGGCGTAGAGTATGGGATGCAACGGGGGTAGGCTTTTTGAATAAAACAAAACTTCAGATAGTCTATTGATCTCAATTTAAATTTTTTTTTACGATGTATACTAGTGCTTTAAAGTAATTTTTTTAGCAAAGTTTTTGTTTTTGTGTAGATTTTATATTGATTAAATTAAATTTTAAGATTCAAATAAAAAGAAAGTAAAAACTTTTAAAATAAAGCCAGTTAGACAAGGTGCCTTGGTGGACTTGACTTAACGGTAATGAATCTTATTTAATGCCAATTTCAAATTTTGGCGAGTTCACTTAACAATAACTTTATGAAGTTATGAAGACTTCAAACACATCCGCTGTTGACGTTTCAAATTATAGTATTTCTTTTTAGAATTTAAAATTAAAATTTAAATTGAAGTTTTACTACGTTTACATTTTTATACAAAGTACTATAAAAATTAACTTACAAAAGCAGTTAAAAAACACACTTTTTAACAGCTGTAACAGTAACTTTTATTCTCAGTAAATTTTGAATTAGCTTCTTTTTACTTTTATTTGTGCAAACTTTTTGAGTGATACTTGTATATTTGTTCTCATTTTTATATTTAATTATAGCAGTCACATTTTAAAAATTAATAACTACTATCATTTTTTATTTACTTTATTACTTGCTCAAATTACAGATTATTGTCAATTACTCTTAAGAAATGATTAATTTTCATTAATTAAGAAATAATTAATTATAGTTAAAAAAACTAAAAAAAAAAAAAAAAAAAAAAAAAAATTCAAGTTACAAACATACAGTTCAGATGTTGTTGATGATAATAGTGGGGATCAAAAAAAAAGGTACAAGCTAACCACACTAATAATTCATAAAAGATTTTTAATAACAACCTAAAATAAGAGATTTTTCTTTACAGAATTCCCTATTCATCGTCATTCATTTCAACAGAAGGTTCAAATGGAAAAAAAAGTTTAAAAAAACATTTGTCAATATCTGTCCAGCTGGGAAGACAAGTATAAGTGGATTAAGTATGACACTGTTAAAGAAAAAGCCTTTAATTCCTTGCGTGTCAAAGCTACTGATATGAAGCTTCCGCTGCCTACTAAATCAAGAGAAAGAAAATCCACTCTAGGATTTTATATTAATGCAGGCTTGGTTGGGAAGTGGAAGCGATCGCTCTCGAATACTGATCACAGAAACTATAATTAGTTGCGTAAAACTGGCCAGGTTTTTTAGTCGTTTTGAGAACATTTAAGTTTTGTACGAAACAAAAAATTTTTGTTTTACGGACATACATGGAAACATAAAAAACTTGAATGTTCTCAAAACATCTTCAAACCCGCCAAATTAACGAACAAACTATTTCTATTGGTTCAAAAAATAAGATGATTAAGCGAAATAAAGTTCTAGAGTATTCTGTTAAAATGTTTTAGAAGTTGTATTATTCACGATTTGTTACGCTATGAGATTTCTAGCATTGTTTTAAGAATATATATTATTTGTTTACGAAAATAAATGTTTTAAATTAATTAAATTGTTAAAATTTTAAAAGTTTATTATAAATTATAGATTTTATTAGTATATTCTTATTTTTTATTTTAAAAGAGATTGTATTCTTTATGTAAATGTAATTTTGTGTATTTGTTTTTTATCGTAATGTATCTTTTAAAACAATTTTTATTAGAGTTTTCAATGAAGTTATAATCGTTAAAGATAATAAAACTAATTATGTAACAAACATATAAGAAGTTTCTGGTTACTAAACACAAACAACGCATACAAAGTAACTTGCGGATGAACAAGCATCGCACCTGAGGTCACGACAGAACACAAATAAATACAGCAAATAATTAGATATAAAGAAAAGTTTCTAGATATTGGTTTACTAACTTTAATTATTTTAGCTTAAGTTGCCATTCTTAAAACTCGTTATACTTTTTTCTGCTTTAAATACTAATTAAAATTAAAAAGCCTACTCACTAAACATCATCAGCGATATTGTGAAGCAGTTTCGCTTCCTGGTAATTATATATTTTTAACCTTTTTAGTTGATTTCCATCTTGATAATTTAATTCCTATAGTAATTCAATGATTTAATTATTTCATTTGTTTATCTTACTAAGAAGAATTGCTTCAAATATGTTAAACTTTTACGAGAAACATAAAATAGGTATTAAAAAAACTAACTTTTTTATTTATAAAATAATTTAGCTTAAGTAAAAATAAAACTCGCAAACTTAGTT